CGATGATGGTTATCTTCTTCTCCAGTGAGGCAAAGAGAGTTTGCTCTCTCACAAGGTAAAGCTTGCTGCCCAACAACGAATGTTGTTGATGATGAATCCAATAGAAATGGGTTTTGTCGGAGTAAGAGTGAGAGCAAGTTTGGCTAAGAGACAGAAAGAAAGGTGGGAAGAGAGAGAAACTGAGACGGAGGGAACTGGAGAGGGAGAGGGAAATTTCCATGCATATTTTTTCATACTCATTATTATTTTGTACCCAAGGCCTATCCGCTACGAAATTACCAAGGGCTTGTTCGTTTCCTCTTAACTTTTATCTCTTAGAGGAATCTTTTAACTTTAAGAGAAAATTGGTTGTTTGTTTTCTCTTATCTCTTATCTCTTATCTCTTAAAGTGCAATCATACAACTTTTTGTTTTCCAATGATACCCCCAAAAGACAAACAAAAACTCTCATATATGGGGTCAAAATGGATATTTGATGGTTTTAAGAATTCAAAATTCATAACAACATTCTCTGCATTCAAAGTTCAAAGGAAAGAAAAGTTCACCAATGCCAATATACCTCTTAATGTAATTATTACACTTTCAGATGTCAGACTTCAGAGCAAACGAACAGGCCCTAAGGCTCAGTTTGGAAGAGTATAAATACAAATATGTACAGTGCAAATACATACAAAACAATACAAAATACAATGTTTTTCACCCTACATATTCGCATTTGTACTCTTTCCAAACTAAGCCTAAACTACAGTATTGGGAAATAACAATAGTAGGCTCATGGTTGGTTGTTACAAACTACATACAGTCATGACCTGAGCTATAGTTCATGTCTGTGTTGGTATATTGCCACGGTTTTTAGCAACAGTTTGGGCCTGTGCCTATACCTTAACTAAATTGTTATATAAATTGCAATGGAGAGATAGATCAATTGCTAGAAACCACCTTATAGCTTTGGTTTTTACATTGGTTGCTAAAGTTATATTGCTAGATCCTGATTTTCTTGTAGTGTTAGCAACATTGGATGATGGAGTTGAACTAGGTAGGGTGTGTTGATAAAACCATGACTTATGGCTGTGTTATGGACACACCGCCTGGCAGCGCACTGCAGCGCAGTCATAGGCAGCGGCACGCACAGCGGGCCGCCCAGCAGCGCGCAGCACGCACCGCTCGGCAGCGCACACAGCAGCACGCACCGCACGGCAGCAACACTAGGCAGCAGCACTGCGAGACGTGCGCACCACCCGGCAGCAGCAGTAGGGCAGGGCCCACATGACAGCTCATCAGGGTGGGTCCACACTTATCTTACCACATCAGCTCTGCCCGCCAACTCACCGCCAGCTACACCATTCCTCATCCCTTATCCTTATCCTTATCTTATCTTATTTTAAGTAAGAGTTGTGTTACCATTAGGAGTAGGTAATTAGGAGTTTGAGTTCAAGTTGGAGTTTGAGTTWAATTAGGAATTTCCTTCTGTAATCTCCTATTTAAGGAGCCACGAATTGAAATAAAGGGATTCAGTTTTCCAGTCAAGAAAAGAGTGAGGAGAGTTCGGGTGGTCTCTTGGACAAATCACCCATTCAGTTTCCGCAATAGGGTCTGCACGCAAGGGAAGGCGCAAGGGAAAGCAGGGCTTTCTCCCCGTGGACTGACCCGTGACGAGATCCTACGCGCGGTCCCATAACATTCTGGTATCAGAGCCTACCGTCATGGGGGGAACAAGAGCCGCTGTCTTCCAAGGTCCACGAACTGGAGCACAAACTTGCAGAGACCAGCATGGAGGTACGTGAGGTCAAGGATGATGTCCGGGAGCTTCGACGCTTGCTAGAGACATTCTTAGCCAATAAGGAAAGAAACTCAGAAGGAACCACCACCAACCACAGCCGTCGCCCAGATCGAGCCGAAGGCTCCGGTGAACGACAGGACACCACCCCAGCTACAGCAATCATACCCAAATACAGTCATCTGGAGTTTCCCTCATACAGCAGAGGCGGTGACCCACTGGGATGGCTGTATCGCTGTGAGCAATTCTTCCGTAATCAGCGCACGGAGGAGAAGGCCAAGGTCAGCCTGGCCGCGTTCCACCTGACCGAAGAAGCACAGCTTTGGTTCTACCGAGTGGAGCAGGAGGAACCAAGTCTTAGTTGGGGGCAGTTCAAGTCGTACTGCCTCCTTCGGTTCGGACCCCCACTAACAAACAA